GAGGAGGAAGATGAGAGAAGAAGGAGAAAGACGACGAGTACGAGGCCAATAATGGTTATGAAGTTGAACTTGATGATAAAGACGACGACGATGAGGGCGATGAGGAGGAAGACAAGAAGGAGAAGGGTGAGGGTGGAAAAGAAATGCTAGAAGTACGACGACAATGCCCACGACGATATTGGTGATGATGACGACGATGTTGAATTTTTTAATTATCATCCAACTGCCCATAGCATTAAAGTTTTTCAGTAGTGTCACTTCTTTTCATATGTTTTGATTGGAATATGATCGAATTGCGCTGAGAGAAAGTTTACTTTGCAATCGCTTTTTATTAGCAGTAAATTGAGGAATAAATCTTAGCAGTTTTAAAAATTACACGAGTTCGCCATGCAGGAGCAGAGTTCTGCATAAAATAGCCATACCATTTGCAATTTGCTACGTCTCGAAGCACACTGGTTCAGTATTACTGATTGCATTACACGAAAGATTATTTCAGAGAACCTGAAAATGGATCCAGCTTCCACTGAAAAAACAAACAACTCTCAAATGACATAGACGTGCTCAGTAAATGATTAAAAAACTATGGAGATGAATGGGTATAAGATCGGAATGGCGATATATCCAATGGTCAGAGCAGATATATCACCGAAAGCCAGCAAGGCAAAACCGTTAATGAAGGTGATAAAGTCATCTTCTGCTCAGAAAGATGACAAGAAGAGGTAAATACACTTAACTGAATACAATATACTAGTTCTTGCGAATCAAGCGGATAGGTGTTGATTTCCTTAAATTTATTGGTATTTCGACGAGGCATCGCCCATACCATCCGTTCTAATTGCTGGTTAGATGATTCTGTCACTCTTTCTTTGGAAATTAAAATGGACAAGGAACCAGTCAGTCCCCTGAATATAACTATATGCAGATTAGTGCCAAGGATTTTCATATATAATGGCTTTTTTTGCGAAACTAAACAAACTGATTTAGGTTATGACACAGGACGCAGGAACAACTACCGTAAATGGCTATCCCAAATAAAGTAGGTGCGCTGAACATGAAGCAGTATCAAGAAAAGAAAGATACTGTGGATGGGAATGAAAGTATTGGATAAATAAGGAAAGAGAAGGAGGAAGAATGAGTTTCAATAGGCGAGGAAGCTAAACGGGAATGGTAGAAGCTGAAGAAAAATAGGATGCCAAGGAGGAAAATGAAAATAAAAGGGAATAAGACGATAATAAGAAAGAAAATAATAAGTAGGAAAGTGGAAGAAGAGTGAAGTGCCTCAGATAGAAGTAGTTTGGCTTGCAAGCATGAGGCGCGGTTCAAGTCTGAGGGACGAATGCGCACATTTTCTTCTTAACTGATAACACTTTTGAACAAGAAATTCACTGAAGCGTGCCGTCTCATAACCAGTGGAGAATTCGAAAATGAGGCAATGGTTTGCAAACAGTTACGACTGCCTGATGTTCAGATTGGTCGTGTTAAAGCCTGCCGGACTTGTGGCCTAGCTGCAATTCGTACTGCACAGCGGCATATAATTAAATTAGCCCGGAGTGTATTCGTAAAAATGAATTTTGTTTTCAACATGCTAACAGCAACTATGTGCATACGTTATTGCCATTAGTGATTGTATATATTTTAATATTTTCAGACGTGAATACTTTCAAAACAGTCAGTGAATATATCGTCATAATATACAGTAATAATGAAGTCAGAATTTAATATGTTACAATGCTAACATTGGGGAACGCGATTTTCTCAGTGCCAAGTTTAGACAAATGGTATCGCTTTCTGCTGACGAATCGCATACCCGGAATTCCGGTTTGCGGGTGGTCATTCGACGGCCACAGTGCGACATGTCCGGCATATCGTCGATGACCGGTCGAACAATGCCGACGGGGCGAGCGGGAATGTCTGTCTGTCTGTCTGTGGGTGTGTGCATATGCGTGTGTGGTACCCAAACAAATCCATCTGCCCCAGTTTCGTCGTCGAGCAGAGCAAACCAGATTGCGACAGCGACGGCGACGACACGACTGGGAACAACCTTCACCGCACACGGCTGAGGCAACACCGACTGCGCCGATTGGCACCCCGTTCTACCACCGTGCATCATCTCTGCGTCGGTCGCCTCCTACTTCGTCACAGAGGTAGTGGTGACAGTGCGTTGCTGTGAGAAAGCCGTCCGTCCGTCCGATCTGTCCGTCCGTCCGTCCATCGATCCATCCATCCATTATGTCCTCGCCATTGATCCTGAGCCTCAGCACGGTATTCGCTCTGATCGGTATTGTGTTGGTGGCGATCGCGTTTGGTACCAACAACTGGCAGGAATACCGCGTAGATCGCGCCGCGCTGAAACTACAGCTGAGTCGATCCGACCGGCCACAATCCGGACCCCGCCAGGACGTCGTCAACCGCTCCGATCTCTTCTACAGCCGCGTATACGGTCTCTTCAGAGAGTGCTTCCCGAACGAAGTGCCCACCGGTAAGTAAATCGACTGCTAACGTGACCTTTGCAGCTGCTGACCACCGTCCATCATCGTCTTTCGCCTTTACGGTTCTTTCGCGATCGTTCCCGTCGGCGGGAGGAGTGTCATGATGCGGTCGAGCGTCTGTTTACACACCACTTAATCCGTTGTTGGTCGGATGGCCCATTCTCTCCTTGACGATCACACACCACTCGTGCGTAGAAACATGCCATTTCTTCTAGTCGCTAGGCGTCTGCTTCTCTTTGATCTTGTCTTCGATCGGACGGCGAGAGGACAGGTTCTCATAGAGCGCGACACTTGCGATGTCTTTGATGTGCAGAGGTCAGATCACAAGAAACAGTTTTTCGTCCCTTCTCGAGACAGCGGCATCGTTCTCAGCAATAACCGTGTAGATGGAATGAGCAGCGAACGTTCGTGGTGACGACGGAAGTATCTAGACATTATTAACATTGGGCAATACTAGAGAAATGAATGAGAAAGAGCCTCAAGCGCGGTTCATTTACACACAACGCAATAAATACGGTCAGTTGGGCAACTGATTCGTACCGGCATTTCGACCCTTGTCTCAAAGCCTGTTTCAAGCTAGATCGAGTTGATTTCAGTTCTCTATGATGTAACGTTTGGAGCCAGAAGCCCTTCTATTGAACGAAATACTCGGTCATCGATTACGTGATATAAGCAAAAACGATCCTCCTAGTCCACAATAAACATTTTATGTACAGCAAAGCAGCACTTAGGACTTGCTAAAGTTATTTAAAATTAACTAATTCTGGGTCCCTAAGAATTTCATGAAGGAATAACAAGTAAGAAAGTTTAGTTGTGGTCCGAACCGTACTAAAAGTGCTTTCTCATTGCAAGGAAGTGTCGTTTAGAAATTTAGCTTATAATCGATGAACGTTATCATTCAGGCCTACAACGAATCGTACTGCGTCACTCGAAGCAAAGATCGGTGACCCTCAATATTCTTTGCTGATTAACTTAACCCATTCGTTCTTTCCGGAATATTCTGCCCTTAAAACTAAAAGATTAACCAATTGTTATACCGGTACTGCTGTCACTTTAAAGAAACCTGATCATACCTGAACTTCACGGAAACATGAATTCTCAGATGGGCCAATGGTGTCTTCCAAAAAGATCGCATCTGTGGAATTTTCCATTTAAACACATTGGGCTTGGCTCCAGTGGTTCCAAACGTAGACTCCCTTGGTTCGGCCCCGTAAAACATATAAAAAAGATATTGCATGGACTGTACGGTATAAATAGTGATGATACTAGAGAAGGCTAAGTCTTAAGATTTCATCATAGAATGTGGAGTACCATTGTTAAAGGCAGTACATTAGGAGGAAAAGGAATGGCAGGAACATGAGGCCAGAGGAAGAGGAAGAAGAGAGGCTTGGAAGTCTTCCCATATAAATTTGTTAAGACGCCTTACTTTTGTAAATTAAAGAGCATCTTGTTCATAGGTTAATAATCACACTGGAATATACCATGACGCCAGTTTAATTGGTGTAAGTCTATGCGGTGACAAATATGACGTTAGCGCAGTGTGAATTTATAAATGTTCCTGTTGTGATTCCCTCTCGAACCAAAATGACGTTCAGCCACGTTATAGAAGAGGCCAGTTAGTTTTCATGCCATGATAGTGCTTTGCATGTTTTTTGCGGCATGCTCCAAGTGTCTACTTGCCAACGGCGGCGGATTCATTTCAGATGTCATACCTGCGGTCCTCGAGTTGACACTGTATCGTGCACAGACCATTGTTAACTTGCAGCGACATTTAATACTTATTTAAGATGGTTTACATCACTGCATAGTTGGTGTTTGGCGATCTGCCAAAATTAGACTGAAATCATGTTATAAAACAACTCCAGATTTTATTAAGGATCAGCGCACGCAGCCATGGCCTTTGACAAACCTGATCTTCGAAAGGATTCTTGTTTTCCAAAAGGTCAGTTTTGTCAGACAACTCCTGCTGTTGGTGGTCGTTCACAAATTTGGCTCTCGTAATTATCATTTTCGTAAGAACGGATCCATTTATGAGGAAGAGGATAACGTCCTGCAGCTGAGCATTGTCTGCAATTCAACTGATATTCGAACGGGCCAGAACTGACTGGTTTGTGAAAGTTACGTCACATTTTTTTGAGACTGTGCCATAAGAAGGACAAAACGTCAATGGATAACAGGGGTTTTAGTATCTTTGTTCAAGGAGCGAGACCTTAGGAAGTGCTCCAATTATGCGGTGTTACTTTATTCAGCCTCCTAGGTAAAACTTCAGCTAAAGATGTTAGAAAGAAGGCGCGGCAGAATAACCAACTCTAAGGTACAAGAAGCATTCCTGACCAGATCTACGCCTTGCGTAAAACTGTTTAGAAATTGTGCGAGTTTTCTCATCCGATTTGCATGTACTTTACTGACCTGGTGGAAGCTGTGCCCTGTTGTCGCGCAGCCATCTCTGAGCATGCCTCGGTATATATGGGATCGATGGTCAGTTTCTACGATCCATCCAATCACTGTATTCTGATAGCAGGTGCTGCATCAAAGTGAATGGCGTTAAATCGAAACATTTCTGCTTTGGCAGTCGTCTCCGCCAGGGCTGCGTTTTGTCCTCTCTCCTGTTTGTGTTGTACATTGAGAGAATAGGAATTAGCAGTCAAGGCGATGAGTGTATCGGTGTAGAAGTTGTGAAGACGAGAAAGTTGCTCTTTGCCGACGACTTTGTTTTATTGGCATTTTCTGAAACTGACCTTTAGTGACCCCTGGAAAGGTCGCAGCTCCTTAGTATGCAATGGTTCGAATGGATGTGACTGTGTTTAAACTTAATGGTTTATCGGTTTGTCGTCTTCTGTCCGTTGCACTCTGCAGATAAACGAAGAAGCAATGGAACAGAACCGTTGTGACTAAGGCAGAGCTGAGCAT